AATTATAAGTAATTAAACTTAAGCAAAAAGGTAAGAAACTCCTAACCAACTATAACTATATATATCCTAATACGACTTTTAAAAGTTTCGGTGGAAACCTTGAATTGATAAGATCTTGATCAGATCTTAGGTAGAGTCAAGCAGCGAAACTGAATTACACTGAACTCAAAATAAGCATGGTAAGAGATTGACGTATGTTGAAATCTTTTCAGTTATATATATAGCTGAAAACGTGTAATCAAATATATTGAAAAATATATTGAAATCTTTTCAGATATAATTTGTTTTAAAATTCTAAAGGGGTTTACCTTGGAAAATTGGTTTTTGACCAAAATGATGCTCATATTTGAATATTACTCAAACAACTTTCTATACCTGTTTTACCCTTAATTGCTTTGAAGACAAAAAAATATATTTACGAAACTGCCATTAATGAAGCAAGACACGTATGCAAAGAGTTTTCTGCCAAAAGCAAATAAGTCTACCGTTCATGTAATTGTAGATTTATTTTATGATCGATAGATTTAATAAGTTGTTGATAGACTTAATTCATGTTTGTTGACTTAATCGATGAACGGTAGAGTTAATATTTGAGTAGTAGACTTATTGTATAGACTTATTTATATTTAGTGGTAGAGATCTTTCGGAGTGGTAGACTTAAATTATGAGTGGTACGGAACAGTGGTTGATTTTTGTTTTAGTGATAGACTTAGTAGTCGAATGGTAGATTTATCTCGGTAGACTTATTATTGAGTGGTAGATTTATTTGTATGTGATGGTAGACTAATTACTCGTGGTAGATTTAAATTGTTGTAGGGGTCGGATTCCACCCCTGAAAGATTAAAGTCACAAAATGGCTAAGTTTAAAAACTGCATGACGAGATGACATGTCTGGCAGGACATACTGGGTGACAAGCTGCCTTGTCTGGCATGACAGACTATGTGACAAAGTGACATGTATGGCAGGACAGACTAGGTAACGAGCTGCCTTGTCTGGCATGGCAGACTGCGTGACAAGGTGACTAGTCCAGCATGACAGACTTGGCGACAAGGTGACCTGTGACGGATTGCACGACGGTGTTGTCGAAATTGCAAGGCGAGAGCGCCGAGCCTGGCAAGGCCAAGAACACTACTTAGCGGCAAAGACAAATTCGTAATGGAGAAGTGGGTTTGCAGAAGCATGAAGCCCATGACGAGATGCAGCCCATGATGGACGAGGTGGGACGAGCCCAAGGCATGACGAGGTGGGCCAAGTAGGTCGGCGCAACCCACTAAGAGTGGCCGACCTCATGGAAATAAAACTTCTAAAGGATAAGAAAAACTTCCTATTTTCTCTAGGGTTACCTAGCCGACCTAGTCTGCTATAAATATTAATGTAACTCCCTCAAAAAAGAGATCCGCAATTTTTTATATAGAAACTCTTGTATTCTTTAGTTTTGACAAAAACAGCAATAAGAATCCTCTTCAATCTTTTGTGTGCGATTTCATACTTTGAAGACTCAATCTTCTTGAAACTCTTGAAAAATATTGACTGTGCAAATTCTACCATCCACAGTTTGGCGCCGTCTAAGGGGAAACACAACCGATCTTCTTACTCGAAGGAATCGCATCACAAACCACCTAGAAGATGACCATCAAACGTGTGAACAACACTGATGGTAACCGCGTTGACGAGACCGCTGGCAACCGTGTCGACAACACCGTTGACAACCCTAGCGACAGGGAGATCCAAACCAACCTTACTGAAATTATTACACAGAACGTCAACCGAGCTGCAACGGATGCGCCACCTACACTGGAAGTGTTGAATCAGATCAAGGCGGCGATGGATCCGATGCTCAAAAGACAGGAGAACCAAGACAAGGTCAACTCCGCAGTAACTGAAAAACTCGACATCCTCACTACGGCAAGCTGCGGCTGAGGCCAGGGCTTGTTTAGGCAACAAGGAGGTCGACTCGCCCTGACCGCTCTCTTCTCAACGCCAGATGGCGTACCCACAACTCGAACTTTCTCGCAGTTCTACACCACCTCGGGGACAGGCGAAGGAAGCCAAGCAAGGCGAACCAACCGACCTCTCGAACAGGGTGCGCAGCCCATAGATAGAACACCGCCAGTCGTCAATCTCGACGAAGATTTAACAACCAAGGACAACTCGAAAAAATATGCAGACGCCGAACGCACCGAAGCGCACCGAGTCAGGACGACCCAAGGAGCCGAGGAGACCGAACAAGATAACATTAGCGATGAAGATCTCCTCTGGATTTGGCAGCTCGTGACGAAGCACTACGCATCCAGAAGGCCGAGATAGCTGAGATGCGTATGAAGATGGAACGAACGGCCGAAGACATGAAGGCGGTTCATCCCAGATGCCAAAAGCTACGAGTAAGGCTCCTCATCTAGACCTGGTAT